ATGTATTTGTTGGCTGCCTGAATATCTTCTTTGGTGAAGTGTGGTTCACATCTTCTTCCCACTTTGTAATTGGATTGTTTGTCTTTTTGTTGTTGAGGTGGTGGAGTTTTTTAATAAATTTTAGAGATAAATCCTAAATGTCATTGCTGAGTATTTTTCCCATTCTATATGTTCTCTTTTTACTTTTTTGGAGCAGTCTTTTGATGCATATAAGAATTTAATTTTTAGATGGGTCCAATCATCTAGTTTATCTTTTGCTGTTTGTGCATCTTGAGTTGTATTTGATAGTCTACTTATGCCATCAATTAGAGCCCTTAAGTTTTCCCCTACTTTTCTTTGGTGAACTATATAGTTTTAGGTTTCACATTTAAGTCTTTGATCCATCTAGAGTTAGTTTTTCCATATGGTGTGAAGTATGGATCTTGTCTAATTTTTCTGCAAATGGATAACCGGTGTTCCCAGTCACCATTTGTGAAAGAGACTACCCCCATTTAATGGATTTTGGCCCTTTGTCAAATATTAGCTGACCATAGATGGATGCGTTGATTACTGGGTTCTCAATTCTGTTCCACTGATGTATATATCTGTGGTTATACCAATATCAGGCTGTTTTGACAACTGTGGCCATGTAGTAGGTTTTGACATCCAGGAATGTGAGACCTCTTACTTTGTTCTTCTTTTTCATGAGTGTTTTGCTTATTCAAGGTCTCTTTCTTTTCCAAATAAAATTAGTGATGGTTTTTTCCATGTGTTTAAAGAATGTTAAAGAAATCTGGATTGGAATTGCATTGAATGTTACATAGATTGCTTTGAGTAGTATTGATGGCATGATATGGTATTCCATTTGTATAGATATTATAGTTTCTTGAAGTAATGTTTTGTAGTTTTCTTTGTACAGATTTTTTGTGTCCCTGGTAAGATTTATTCTCCAGTATTTTTTTTTTTTTTTTTGGTAGCTATTCTAAATGGTATTGATTTCCTTATTTCCTTTTCAGAAATCTCTTTAAGGGAGCTCTGGTAGCATAGTGGCTAAGGCACTTGACTGCTAACCAGAAGGTTGGCGGTTCAAACCCACCAGCCACTCCTCAGAAGGAAGATGGGGCAATCTACTTCCGTAGTGTTACTGCCTCAGAAACCCAAGGAGGGGTCTCTATGAGTCAGGTCCAACTCAACAGCACATAACAACAACAACAACTTTGCTGGTGTAAAGGAATCCAACTGATTTTTTGGATGTTGATCTTGTATCCTGCCACGATGCTAAATCTCTCAATTAGTTCCAGTAGATTTTTGACTGAGTCTCTTGGGGTTTCTAGGTATAGGATCATATCATCTGCAAATAGGGATAGTTTGACTTCTTCCTTACCAATTTGGATGCCTTTCATTTCTCTTTCTTGCCTTATGGCCCTGTCTAGGACTTCCAATACAATGTTGAATAGAAGTAGAGATAGAGGGCATCCTAGTCTGGTTCTTGTTTCCAAGGACAGTGGTTTCAGTCTCTCTCCATTGAAAATAATGTTGGCTGTTAGTTTTGCATATATGCCCTGTATTATGTTGAGGAATGTCCCTTCTATTCCTATTTTTCTGAGAGTTTTTTACCAGGAATAGATGTTGGATTTTATCAAAAGCCTTTTCTGCATCTACTGATATGATCGTGTGACTCTTTATTTTACTTGTGTGATGGATTATATTGATTGTTTTACTAAAGTTGAAACATTCTTGCATATGTGGCATGAATCCCACTTGGACATGATGTATTTATTTATTTATTTCTGTGATATGTTCTTGGAGTCTATTGGCTAGGATTTTGTTGACGATTTTTGTATCTATATTCATGAGAGATATTGGTATGTAGTTTTCCTTTCTAGTGGTATCTTTGCATGTTTTTGGTATCAAGGTTACACTTGCTTTGTAAAATGAATTTGAAAGGATTCCATCCTTTTCTATGTTCTGGAATAGTTTGAGTAGGATTGGTATCAGCTCTTCTCTGAATAATTGGTAGAATTTTCCATTGAAACCATCTGGGCCAGGTCTTTTTTGTTGATTTTTTTTTTTTTTTTTCATGACCTGTTAAGTTTCTTCTTCTGTTAAGGGTCTGTTCATGTTTTCTACCTCAGTCTGTGTTAGTTTAAGTAAGTAGTATGTTTCTAGAAATCTTTCAATTTCTTCTAGGTTTTCAAATTTGTTGGAGTACAGTTCTTCATAATCTTTTTATTTCTGTTAGTTCTGTTGTGACATCACCACTTCCACTTCTTATTTGCATTATTTGCATCTTCTCCTTCTTTTCCTTTGTTAAGTTTGCCAGTGGTTTGTCCATTTTATCAATATTTTCAAAGAATCAACTTCTAATCTTGTTGATTTTTCCTATTCCCTTCTCATTTTCTGTTTCATTTAATGCTGCTCGAATCTTTATTACTTCTATTTTGGCTCTTTCTTCTTTTTTGATGTGTGCACCTGTTGCTATAAATAGCCCTTTGATCACTGCTTTTGCTGTATCCCAAAGGTTTTGGTATGTTGTGTTCTCATTCTTATTTGATTGAAGAAATTTTTAATTTCATTTTTTATTTCTTCTGTTACTCAGTCATTTTTGAGGAGGGTGTTATTCAGTTTCCGTGCATTTTCTCTTGGGCTTCCTCTTGTTGATTTCTAATTTTATAGCATTATAATCTCAGAAGATGCTTTGCAGTATTTCAATGTTTTTTAACTTTATTGAGGCTTGCTTTGTGGCCTAATATATGGTCAGTCCTGGAGAATGTTCCATGTGTGCTGGAAATGTTAGAGTAGAACTGTGGTGCATAAGGATTTCAATGGCTGATTTCTCTGAAGTAGATTACCAGGACTTTCTTCTTAGGTAACCAGAGCCTCTAGCAGTGTAACATGCTAACCTAATGGTTGCATAACACAGGGACTCATGTTCCATGTGAGTGTTTTGTAACCTTGAGTATCTTGTGCCTATTTCTACTCTCTTTTCACACTACATTGTTTTTGTTGTTGTTAGGTACCATGGAGATGATTCTGACTCATGGCGACACTGTATGCAACATAACAAAACACTGCCCAGGCCTGCACCATTCCAACAATCCTTGCTATGCTTGAGCCCAAACTTGCAGCCAATGTGTCATCCATCTTGTTGATGGTCTTCCCCTTTTTCACTGATCCTCCACTTTACCAAGCATGATATCCTTCTCCAGGAAGTGGTCCTTTCTGATAACATGACCAAAACAGGTGGAACAAAATCTGGCCATTCTCATTTCCAAGGAACATTCCAGCTGCACTTCCTCCAGGGCAGATTTATTCATTCTTCTGGCTGTTCATGGTGGTTTCAGTATACTTTATCAATACCACAATTCAAAGGTGTCAACTCTTGTTTGGTTTTCCTTATTCCTTGTCCAGCTTTCACATGCATATGAGGTGATTGAAAATATTGTGGCTTGGGTTAGGTGCACCTTAGTCTTCAAGTGACATCTTTGCTTTTTAACACTTTAAAGACACTTTTGCAGCCGATTTGCCCAGTGCAATATGATGTCTGATTTCTTGCCTGCTGCTTTCATGGGTTTTAATTGTAGATCCAATCCATTTTTTTTAAACTCAAATCCACACTACATTAATATTGTTAATTTATTTTCTCTCACTAGAACTTGAACTATTTGCCTTGTGTCTGCACTAGCAGAGTGCATGTGTTATAGAAAATTGTGGTAGGCAGAATTTTACCACAACTCTCAATGACCCACACACTTGCATAATTCTTTCCTCTTGAAGTTGGGAACAAATGTGAATATGATGAGCTTTACTCCTATGATTTCATCATGCTCTGTGGTACTTTTGACTTCAAGAAGGGATTATTATCTTTGGTGGGCCTGGTATAGTCACATGAGCTGCTGGGGTCATAAATGGGCATGATCAATCTGGAAAGCAAGTTGGAAATATGTGGTGACAGTATATATAAGCATCTGCTCTCTGACCATTTGTGTATATTTCTGGACATATGACATAGCTGCCCTTACTTCTCCCCTTCCTTTAAAATTGAGGGCTCTTTGGAATGAGGGGTTCAGGGCTGCCTCTGAACCTGCCGTTGAGGCTTAAGGCTCTCTGGAGTGAGGGGTCATAAGTGCACACACACACACACTCATACACACATCTCCCTTGTCAAATTGGGGGTTCCGAGAGACAGCCTGCCTTCTACAGATCCGGGGCTCCAAGGCAGAACAGCGCCTAGGGTGGTTCTGGGTCTGTGCCACCATCACAGGCCAGCAGAGGGAGGCAGTTACCCGGCAGACACTGGGACTAGCTGCCGCGGTCCAGGCTAGAAGCGGACGGCCAATGGCCGGCTCCAGGGCCCAGTGCATAGGTCTGGGTTGGCAAGCCACCCAGCTCTGGCTAACCCTCCTGCTGCTACTGCTGCCAGAGCCGCCTCCACAGCAACCCGTGATAGTGGAGGCCGCCTTGTGGCCCCAGGGCACCAGGGCATACGGTGGGGTCTGGCGGCAGAATGGGGGGGGGGCGGGCAGGCCCGGTGGAGGTTACCCTACAGGGAGAAGGTTGAGCTAGCCTGCCCCCTCTCATGTGTACTAATCCCCTTAACTCTGTCTTCCCCTCCCCCAGGCAGTGTCCAGGACATCAGCCAAGGTGGGTAGGGCTCTGTTGTCTCTGGATGTGGAAGGCTGGGAGGACTCAGCCTTATTGATTGGGCTCCTGAAGATCTAGGAGTGCTGAGGCCCAAGGGGGCCAAGACACCCTATCTTCCTTTCCTGTTCCTTCTTGCTGGCCCTCAAGCCTCCTTCAGTCTCAAACCCACTTCATTTTAAGAATGGGGATCTACTGCTTCAGACAGGGGAGTTGTCAGAAATCTATTTCATGCTCTAGCTCCTTTTGCTAATCTCATTGTGCCTCAGTCTTCCAAGGAGATGGGACTGAGGGGAAGAGGCACAAGCACTTTAGCTTCAGTGACCCTGAACAAATAACAGTCCCTCTGTAAACCCTCAGTTTCTGTATCTTCAGCAGAGATGTACCAGTTGAGAGCAGTACAGTTGGAGAAGTATGTGGCACAGTGCCCAACTCCCAGCCCATCTGCCCCTTGACCAGCCCACTTCTGGGTAGTGTGCCACCTGCAGCACCTTTACCCTCCCGACCCACAGGCTCTTCCCTCAGAGTTGATTTTACTCCTAGGAAATGCCTTAACAGGCATAAGCCTAGCAGCCCTTTGGGATCTAGGCCATGTTACTTGGCTTTGTCTATTCCGCTTGGATCCTGTTGTTGCTAACATTCTGGGGCATGGTGGGCTGGTGTCCTTAACATAGATGTCCCATACATGTTGTCTCCACAGTGTGTGGGAAGCCCACAGTAGCTGGAAAGATCTTTGGTGGCCAGAGTGTGGTGGGTGAACGATGGCCATGGCAAGCCAGCCTGTTTTACCTTGGCAAGCATATCTGTGGGGCTGTCCTCATGGAACGCTACTGGGTGGCCTCAGCTGCTCACTGCTTCCTCAAGTGCGTCTTCCCCCATAGGGCCCCACCTCTGGGGTGGGCTAGGGGAAGGAGGGAGAGGGTGGAAGGGTGGAAATGGGATACAGTGGGTCAAGCCTAATTGGGGACAGTTTGCTACCACTAATTGTCCAGGTATGCTGCTGCTTTTCCCTTAATCAAGCAGTCTTCTCTGTCTGGAATGCCATTCATATTCACCATTTGAATCCCTTTTCTCCGGTTAAGATCCCGCCAGGATGAGTTAGACAGGCCCCTTCTATGGAAGAGCCTCAGTATACTCAGCACAATAGCCTATCAGGCTTGGCTCTATGTCTCTCTTCCCTTTTATGCCTGCAGGTATACTCTCTGTGCCTCATCCTGATGGGTGTTGAGGATTCAGTCTTTATGTGTTACTTAAATGTGTGAAAGAATAATCACAGAGGTGAATGGGTGAGTGCATGTACCAGGACCTGCATTTTCTGCTTTGTGGGCTGGTGGCCCAATGGTCTGGTTTGGCACTGCCACTGATATGCTGTGTCACTTTGCAGAAATCATTTTATTTCGTGGGGCCTCAGCTTCTTTCTACCATCTTAAAATCTATGATTCTTTGTCTAGGCCAGACCCACAAGGTGACCAATCTCTTAAGCATCTGCAGCCCAGGACAGAGATCATATATCCTCATCTCCTACTCTGAGGATGTCCACTGCTCCCCACCTCACACACACATACACTTTGCCAATATCTACCAAGATCATTTTATTGTTTCAGTTAGTTACGTGGACATTATTTTTAAATAGCAAAATGGAAATTTATTAAGTCTAGTTGTGATTATCAGTGAATACTGGAAAATGGATTTTAGTTCCAGAGTAATAGCCTCCAGTCCACTCTTTATCTTACCCAAACTTTAGGACTCTAAGTCTTACTCCAATTCAAGGTAGAATTTGATTTCTGTGTCTTGCCCAGCTCTAAACAGTTCTACAAGACCTTGACAGGCCTCAGTTTCCTCTCATGTAAATGGCAATGAGTGTGGAGTGTCTCTGGCTATATGCTTGGCACAGTTTTAAGTCAGAATGACATCCCCAAGGCCTCACCTCCCTGGGCAGTATTGGTACCATATTTTTCATTTAAAGGCTGTGAATTTCATGTGCAGGTGCAGTTACAACATGACAATCAATGTCACGCTCCATGTAGTGAAATTTCTCAAAGGCAGGGTCTGGCCTTTTATCCCCTCCAAGGCAGAGCTCTCTGCCAGCCATTGGGGCATCTCTACCAGGGACTCACCTGGGTCCTGATCCTGAACTCCTCATACACTCTGACACAGCCTTCCTTTTTGAGGCTTCCTGGAACTCTGTATGTCTTTCCATAACTGTAGAACTATATGCTGAAGAGGAGCTGTAGTTACTACCATCCTCCCAAGTCAGATCAAGGGCAGAAGCACATGGCCTTTGTCCCAGAAGATGTGACACAGATAATCTGGAGACTGGACAACTATTTAGGTCCCCTGCATGCATTATACACCCTGAGTCAGTAAATCAGAGCTTTGGCACAAGCTGGGTGCCAGGCCCCATTTGAGGCCCACACTGAGAGTTGCAGAAATGCAAAGCCCACATCAAGCTTCTCATCCTATCAGGAAGGTGGTAGAGGATGGAGAGGCCAGCGTGTGAGAGCACATAGTCTGAAGGAGTCAGCAGAGGCTCCATGGCTCCTGTCAAGGATGGGTTTGCTTGGAAGGGCCTTGGAAGAAATGATCTGGATATATACAGTCTAGGCAGGGGAACAGCACAAGCAGATCATGAAGGTTGGAAAGTGTCAGTCACTTCTGCTTTGAAAACCGAAAAAAGTTTAATTCCACGCACCCCTCCATTTGAAGATAATGGTGTGTAAGGATTGGGAAGGATCTGGTGGGAATGTAGCTGGGGATGGATTGCACTGAGTGGGAGATGAGCTATTTGAAAGTTTTCAGAGGGTTATGGTGAGAACTGACACTGAGCTGATTCTTATCATTTCTAAAATGAAGAATTGTGATTTGATACCCCCCTCTCAGTGTCCTTTCCAGCACTAAGACTCTTTATTCCTTTGATTCTGTGGTGTGTTGGGGAAGTCACCAGAAACTTTTTAAGGACAAAGTTCCTGAGGCTGGGACAGCAATGAAACCCACATTAAGGAAAGGGCTATATTAGGAAGGCAAGAGAGTTCTGTGTGCTTGCCAGGAGGGATGGGCAATTAAAGAGCAGGGTGCTTGCTGGTCCAGCACTCAGAGGATGCTTTCATCAACAGGTCTCACATGCCAGCGGACTACCAGGTGCTTCTGGGATATAACCAGTTACAACAGCCTACTCAGCACAGCCTGCAACTGACAGTGAACCGCATCATCATCCATCCTGACTTTGAGAAATTTCACCCTATGGGGAGTGATATTGTCATGTTGCAACTGCACCTACCTGTGAACTTCACTTCCCACATTGTTCCTGCTTGCCTCCCGATGCCTGACACACAATTCCCCACTCATGGGTCCTGCTGGATCACTGGCTGGGGAATGCTTAGTGAAGATGGTGAGGGGGACACAGAAGGGTGGGTAATAAAGGAGAGGTGAAGGGAAGAGGGAGATGAAGCTCAGAGGAAGGTGCCAGCTGGGCTCTGATTCTGTGTCTCATTCTCATCCAATAAGATGACTATTGTGGGGCCCTCCTCAACCTGATGGCATGTTATTCTAAACATTAGAGGTTCCTTCACTCCATGGTTCAAAAAGTTGGAGCAGCTCTAACTTTTGGAATCTGGCATATGGATTCTGTGACTCTGAACTAGGCCTAAGTCTATTGTTCTGAACAGCTGTGGGTCTAATATAATTTGATTCAGTCCTGCTTGTGTCTGGTCTATTCCAGGACTTCGCCAATATATCTTGAGCTTCCACTAACGTTAAGGCAGAGTCTGTGTTCCAGTCTGGTTGGCATTGGTAGCTGGGCACTATCTAGCTCTGGTCTTAGGATCTTGTTGGCTGAGATTCCCATAGTCCACAAGTCTCTGGGTTGAATTGTTTCCATGCATCTTTGATTTTCTTCACCCTTCTTTATTCTAGATGAGGATAGATCAATAGTTGCATCTTAGATGGCCACTCACAATCTTTTAAGACCTCAGTCACTACTCACCAAACTAAGATGTATAAAATTGATTTTTACATACTGTGTTGTGCCGATTGAGCTTGATGTCCCCTGCAACCATGTACCTGAGCCAGCAGGCCCAGCAACTCACTCCATTCAAGGTGCTTGGTTGTGGATACAAAGTTATATTAACATGCCTCATGTCAGTTCAATTTTATATATATATATATATGGCACATATATATTGGTGGAAATATCATCTGTTCAACCTACATATTGTTGTTGTTGTTGTTATGTGCCGTCGAGTCGGACCTGACTCATAGCGACCCCTCCTTGGGTTTCTGAGGCAGTATCACT